AAAAAATTGACGTTCCGGCGAGATTGGCAGAAAAATCCTGAATGTGGGGGATGGGGTAACGGTCATTCTCCGTGGCATTATTTAAACGGCGGAAATCTCCGCATGGCCGCCACCGACCGTCCGATTTGGGCACCATGTGAAGCGGAGAGACCCATGCACTGTTCGAGCTCTGTACAATGCCAAGGCGCTCCATGGCTGCAAACTCTTTCCGAGCGACGGACAGTTATGCGGGGTCGAGGCGGCATGCGCGCGAAAACCTGGGGCCCGACCGTGGGAATATAATGCTCAACCCCGTGCTTCGTTACCGTGCTAGAGAAATTAGGGACAGACAGCGATGGAAACTCTAAAAGCAAACGTTGAAAAGCATCCCCGGAGCTCATTACATTAGCCTGAATCAGGGGCTCGGCGGCCCGAGTAAAACAGGGTAGCGAAGAAAACGAGAGAGCATCAATTAAACGCCTGTTAGCAACATCGACAAGCAGTCCATGAGCACACAGAAAATCAGCACCTAAAATAGGTACAGAACTAGCGGCAACAACAAAGTTCCACTGGAAATCCCGGCCATGAAAACAAACAGTCACCAACCTCGAGCGCAGTACCGCCACCCAAGACTGAGCCTCCACGTGTACGAACCATGACGGGGGGTCATAGAGCCAAAAGTCCGGCAGTTTCAGCGCCACAGCAAACCAATGTGGAGGTAAGCGTCAACGACACAGAGCTCTCAGTTCTCACTCCTTCTTTATTCCTCTCCAACATCAACTGCACATATCGCGTCACAAAACACAGGAACACACTTCCTCAACACTGGGTGTGAGTGGAGCCCTCTAGTGGTCCACCACAACTTCTGCAATATCTGGGTATAAGTACAGTCACATTGATGTAGTTACAGTATTTAAAGTACTCAGTGCAGTAACCGCAGGTAGCTGAGGTGTAGCTGATTTAAACTGTTCAGAACTGTAACTATTGACTAATGTGATGATGGATCGATCTGCTGATTATAGATTGATTGAAAACACTGAAACCTCCACAGTGTTTGTTTATTATCAACAATTAATTAAAATGATACAGAGAAAAACAACAGATTGGCTGGTGTGAGAAACTGAAACCAGGAAATGATTTTACAAGAACAATGATTTAACACAGAATCGATCATGTTCTGATCAATCAGCTGATCAATATGAAGATGATGAAGATTCTGGAGGAAGCGCCGAACGCCAGGAAAGCTCTGCTGGAAAACTACGACAGCCTGCTGAAGTTGGCCGACTACTGCCAAAACAACTACATAAAGGTACTACTACTACTGCTGCTTCTGCCACATCTACTGCTGCTGATACTGCCACAACTACATAAAGGTACTACTAATACTGCTGCTACTGCCACATCTACTGCTGCTGATACTGCCACAACTACATAAAGGTACTACTACTACTGCTGCTACTGCCACATCTACTACTGCTGATACTGCCAAAACTACATAAAGGTACTACTACTACTGCTACTACTACTGCTACTACTACTGCTACTACTTCTACTACTACTGCTACTACTACTACTGCTACTACTACTGCTACTACTGCTACTACTTCTGCTACTACTACTTATGCTACTAATACTACTACTACTGCTACTACTGCCACAACAACTTCATAAAGGTACTACTACTACTTCTACTACTGCTACTACTACTGCTATTACTACTGCTACTACTGCTACTACTACTACTTCTGCTACTTCTACTACTACTACTACTACTACTGCTGCTACTGTTACTACTACTACTACTACTGCTACTACTACTACTGCTACTACTACTACTGCTGCTACTGTTACTACTACTACTGCTATTAATACTAATATTACTGCTACTACTACTACTGCTACTACTACTACTGCTGCTACTGTTACTACTACTACTGCTATTAATACTAATATTACAACTACTACTGCTACTGCTACTGTTACTACTACTACTACTGCTACTACCACTACTACTACTTCTACTACTGCTACTACCACTACTACTACTGCTACTACCACTACTACTACTTCTACTACTACTGCTGCTACTACTACTACTGCTACTACTGCTGCTATTAATACTAATACTACTGCTACTGCTACTGCTTCTGCTACTACTACTACTACTACTACTGCTACTACTTCTACTACTACTGCTGCTACTGTTACTACTACTACTGCTGCTATTAATACTAATACTACTACTACTGCTACTGCTTCTGTTACTACTACTACTACTATTGGTATTAGTAGAAGTAACAGTAGTAGTAGAAGTAGTAGTAGTATCAGAGTAGTAGTAACAGTAGCAGTAGTAGTAGTAGTAGCAGCAGTAGTAGCAGTAGTAGTAGTAGTAGTAGCAGTAGTAGCAGCAGTAGAAGTAGTAGTAGCAGCAGTAGTAGTAGCGGTAGTAGTAGCAGCAGCAGTAGTAGTAGTAGCAGTAGTAGTAGTAGTAGTAGTAGCAGTAGTAGTAGCAGTAGTAGTAGTAGTAGCAGTAGTAGTAGTAGAGTGAATCCTATATGTCAATGAATCCTGACGACAAAACCTCCATCGCTGATCAGGTGAAAAAGGCT